GAATAAAACTGATGCAGACATGGTTGACCTTGACGTGCGGAAACCATGTTGGCTATTGCTTAGCATATTATTAGCTTCTAGATACTGAAGTAGTTGATTAAATAATGGGTTTTTTTTTCAAGTAACTTAGAAAAAAATAGGAAGAACAGAAATTGGCCGATAGTTTGAAACTTCTGTTGGATCACCAGATTTAAAAATGGGAGTAATCTGAGCAAACTTCCAGGCATCAGGGAAAATAGACTGCACAATACATAAATTAAGCAAATGATGAAACAATGGTAAAAAAAAGTGTTAGCTACTTAACTTTAGCTGGAAACTTATCAACATGGCCAGCAATGCTTCAAACTCATGACAGAGCCACACCAGAGTGCTCAGGTTCCACATCATGGAGATGCTGCCACGGCTGCCACCATGACACCAAAACCCTCACTGACCTGTCACGCTCCAACGTGTCTACGAGGAGCCTGTGTTCTTATTGCACAAAGACCTCACCAAGCCCCTGCAAATAAAAGAACAGGTTCATTTTTAGACACTGAAAGGGTTGTATTATGGTAGTATTAAGTATTACCTGTCTGTCTGTCAGAGGATTTCCTGTCATCTCAAATCCTCTTCCACCTTTTAAAAGAACTTGATGGGAAGTATCTTGATGAGATGCAGCACATGTTCACACTCTTAAATCACACATACGTATCATGCTTTTAAATCTATTCCTTTTCACATTTAAATCAATCAGTTGTGGTCTATATAAAGTGGAACTGCAATGCTATGCCCTGCTCTGAGAGAGATTTGTTTTAATGTTGTCTCTTTAAAAGCAAATGAGACGCTTCACGCCCCACTCCACCCTGTTCAGCCTTTTTGGTAGTTTGATAGCAAAGATAAGATTGTCTTGAGGCGCAGAAATGTTTTAGTTACAAATCGATTAAAAGATGTCAACAAGGGAAGACTTGTCCATCCAGCCTTACGTGTTGGAAACAGTCTGACCCAGAGCCAGAGGAGAATGAAGTCGAACCTGCAGAAGCATGGATTTGTGAAACTGGTRAGCTGGAAGTCCATGAYCTTGTTGAGCAGTYCCACAACAAATACTGACATTATATTTCAAAATACATCATAGAGAGTAGATAAAACTGAATGCAGGTTGAAAATAAAATATACAATTTTTTATACAGCACCTGGAGAGACTGAATATCACTGTTCTGCATTCCTATAGTCTCAAAATACTCAACACAATGTATTTAATAGTTAAAAAGTGAATTTTGCATTAAACATCAAGAACACCATATCTGAGGCTTATCTACCACCTCTCATCATTCTGAGAACACTCAGTGAAGCATGGTAGTGGCTGCATCATGATGCTGTCAGTATGATGTCCATCAGCAGGAATATGAATGGGGAAAATACAGACAAATTATCTAGAGGTCTGAGACTGAGATTGAAAACCTCCCCCCAGCGGGACAATGACCCTAAACACAGCTAAAGAACACTCCAGTGGATTAAGGAAATCCATTTAAATGTCCTACAATGGTTCAAAGTGCAGACTGTCCAACTGACAACCTCTGCTTTGTTTTACAGATTGTTGGACACAAGCAGCAACCATCCAACTCTATGACCACCCCCTTCCACCACAAGCGTGTTGATAGTTTTGCAGTCTACTGCAGTGCTCAAATCTTTGGTTCCCTGCTTAAAAAAATCAACGGACTYTGAAAGTGATTTTCATCTTTATTTTGTTAAAATCTTAACATATTTCTTATTTTTACATTGAAGAGAGAACACCAACAGGAAGAAAATTGCAAAAAGTTCATTTCAGTTTTCATTTAGAAATAGGTCACTCACCTTGTTGTATGTAAACGTTACCTGTACCAGTCCAAACAGAGCAACACAAATGAAAATCCATGAAAATCATGGCTTCTCAACTGTAAGTTTGCAATCAGAGCAACAGGTTTGCTTGTTATAGTTGTAGTGATCGGACATGCTTACAAAGAAACAACATGGATGTATATTTTACTCAGCTTAAGGAATGTCCCTGGAGTTTTCAGGGTAAAGAATAGTGTGACATCTTCAAAGTGGGTTTTCATGTAAACGTTCTAAATAACTAACATCATACCTGTAGAGATCTCCTTGAATGAACTCAGTTTGGAGTTTATGTGCGACGGGACTCATGAGCTAACGACTAATCTGAGCTCAGTCGAGAAATATGTGGATTTTTGCCACCTTAAACCAGCTGCAATCTCAGATTTCATGGCAGATCATGCAATACACGCGTAACATTCAGGTGAACTGCTACAGCAAATTTTGGACTGGAGTACAATTTGCTTTTGAAGTAGATCATTTTCAGCTTGTGAATATGGTTCAAACAGATATTAAAACTGGAGACTGGGAGTTGAAGCCAGACGGGGAACGGTCCCGACATGCTGGTTCCAGTACAAGTTGGAAGTTGTGCCCCTCCACATAAACTAACAAGACTTTGATAAATAAAACAAAAACACTTCAGATAATTTCTTTCAGGTGTTAACTCTCATTGATAAATGCAGTCCTTATTGCTATTGCATGTTTACATATGCATCTTTTCAATACGTATGTCATTTAATACAATTATGCTTAAAAGGAAGGTCATGTAACACCATGAGTGTGCGTGAGGGAGTAGGCGGGGCTTAAATCCCTGCAAAGCTACTGCACAGACTCTGGTTTCAAAAATACATGACCGCTTCCAAAAACCAGGATCTTATGTTTCAATTCCCAACAACAGACATATATTCTATCAGTTTACATGTCTATGATCATAATACTTGTTGATAGAACAGACCCACTGCCAAAAAAAACTAGCTGCTGTCTTTAAACAACGGTCTTAAAAATTTCTAGCCGTTAGCTCAACAATATTGTCAGAGTTAAACTAGTTCTCCAACCTGAGGTCATTGAATTAGCTATTTAAATAAGTAAGATATGAACTATTTATAACTTTTACACAGAAAACCACTTCAAAATAGGTGAACAAACACTTCAAGGGTTATTGTGTACAAACCCACCCCTTAGGAAGATGTTCTTTAAAACAGTTACAAAATGCAAGGCTAAAATTTACTTTCAAAGTAGGCAGTCTTTAGAAGTTCTGATGAAACAATAACAGAAGTGCTTTGTGGATCAGATTTAGAGCTTATTGTTAGAACCTGGCAGCATGTCTTTATGTTTCATGACAATGTGTGGGAGTATAGGCAGCACAATAGCTCAACTAAACATAAGAGCAACACAAACTAATTAAATGCTTGTTGCTATTGAAATGGTTAGCTTCACTTCATATTAAAAACAGAACTTTACAGCTTTTCACTTCAATTCTTCTTTTTAGTCAAAGTCATAAACCTGCCTCCTGTCAGGAATGATGTTTTGGCATTGTAAAACTTATTTACTATTTTACAATGTTTTAAGTTAAACTTAATGTACCAAGAAATCTGGAAAATCTTTTCAMAGTTGAGTTACAAAATATGGGAAAGTGAAAACATCCAACTATTATCGAAGGAGCCTTTACTTTTGTGTATAATTAGCCTGATTGACGTGTGAATTTCGATTAAAGCATACTTCTACATTTCAGTCATATGCAATCATCAGTGGAATGTTAAGAATGAGGCTGGAGTCTTTGGTCAGAGAGAGAAAAAAAACAAAGTGTGTTTTGGATATGATGCACATTTGGACAGTGGTTTAGTCTTTTTATTGGTTTTGGTGAGTAAACCACAGGGTGACCTTTGGGTGGTACACTTCTTTGGTACGAAGAAGAGGAAGTCTCCATATTTTATGAAGCATGTTCCTCATCTCTCTGCTCAATGGACTCTCCTCTCTGGGACACGAGGAATGACTCCCACACAGCCAGACACTGAAAGACAAGACAGATATTTTCAGTGTCATCTGTAATATGATGAGACTAAATATTCTGACCATCTTCTCATATGAAACACAGATACACGGGAGCAGACAGCTACAGTGCTGTGTATGCTAAAAAGTTAATAATTCAGGCTGCCATCTTGATAGGTTACTTCGTGGGATCCTTAGCTACTGCCAGTGAGGCAGGAGACCATAAATATTTGAGTAAAAATACTAAAAACTCAGACAAAGAGTCTGAAGTCTGGATATTATTTGTTATAATTATAGGAAGCAGAACTTCAAAAAATGTGCTAGCATTTCATTAGAGCTACAGCTCCTTTGCATCAAAAGGAGACGGTTGAAATGGTTCAGGCTTCTGATTAGGATGCCTCCTGGGCACTGCTTATGAGAGGATTTCCAAGCATGTCCCACTGGGAGGAGACCCTGGTCCAGACCCAGAACTTTGTAGAGGGATAATGTCTCCTCTCTGGCTTGTGAAAGACTCGAAATCCCCCAGGAACAGCCTGAGAATGTTGCTGGGAAGAGAGAGACCTGTCCATGTTGCCTGGTACTTGACCATAGAGAAGCAACAGAAAACTGGTAGCAGGGTGGATGATTTTTTTGACAAGCCTAACATGCAAACTTCACACAGAAAGGTTAGCTGGTGAGAGTTCAACTGGAGGCCTTGAAGATGTGAGAAAGAAGCCCACTACAGCACTCAGCCCCACCATCTAACAGAGCCAATGGATTTGATTAAAATCTGTTCAAGGATCTGGGAGATATTTTGCTAACAATACAGACATGAGCAAAAATATTGCTCCTCCCATCATTTTTTGGTGGCAAGTGATGAACAGAAATGTTAAACGTGTTAGAAAAATGTCCTAAATAACTTTTAGGATAACATCCAACTTTCTATATAATTTGATTAATGGTATTAAATATGGCTTCCACCCACTCCTACTATAAAAGAGAGCAGTTAATAAGTGAAGCTCTGTGAAGACAGAAATCTGTTGAACATACACACATTGATGTGTTATTTGAAGATATTGCTGTGTTTGTGTGTATGTGGACCAGTGTAGCCATAAGGTGTGTGAATGATTTATTGTTGTGGAGCACAGAGAGATGACCCGTGAGGATTTAATAAGACACTTGCACCTGGAAGGCTTTTATACCATCCAGGTGATGGGGGAGGTTCAGACTGGGGAGTACAGAGAAACGATGAGTCGGTAGAATACAGGCCTTGTGCCATGTGAGGAAAAAAAATCAGATTCAAGTGATTTGGCAGAGGGAAGAACTGACCTAGAAATGTTAGCTCCACCCAAAAGGGTGTGAAGCAAGAACAATATAAGAACCACTGATGTATAATAAGGTAATGTATAACAAAAAGATTTTCCTAAATGTAAATGTCCCTATAACAAACTAACCAAGCTAACAGAGTCGGACAAGTAATCGAAATGATTAAGCTCTGAGAAGCCTCCAAGCACTCATTATCACCTTCAATTGATACTTATCAATTAAAATGTATCCCTTGTTTCAGAGCAGTTTTTATGTTTACGGTCCCACCCAATATCTAAAGCCTTTTCTTAGGGCTAATTCTTGAGCTTACCTTTTCATAGTACTCCTTATTCCTCTCAGCAGTTGAGACAAAGGCTGATTTGAGGTCAGTTCTCATAATGTTCTTCCAGCGGGACCAGTCTCCCCGCAAGGCGTTATTGGCCTCCTCCATTCGATCTGCCAGATCATCCACTTCCTCCTGCAGCTGCCAAAAACAAAGCAGGGACGTAAGCAGTCACACTTCCACACACAACACTAGGGCTGCACCGATAGCAGTTTTCTGGTCRATCACCAATCTTTAAAATGTCCGACCTGCCGATTCCGATTTTTTAAATAACTGATTCTGTCGGGTGTTATAAGGTGACAATACATGTTCAATGTTCCAATCTTATTTTAAATAAAATATTGRATAATACYCTTAAAACAATGCAAACTTGTTTTAACTGGACATTACGTAGTGCTCACAGCAGAGCAAAAGGGGACAGTGGCACTTTTTTTCAGATAGATAAGAAGCCGATCTTTTCCACCCATCTTATCTACCGGTAAGTATCAGCCGATCTCCGATCTGCCAAAGTTAAGGAAATCAGTGCTGATAAATTGGCTGGTCAATTTAGTGTTGCACCTCTAAATAAGAGTACACAACTTTTTTTTTCAGGAAAAATAAATGTCACTAACCATAGGTCCTTGTCTCAGCAACAAAAAAAGCTTTGACCACTCAAAAATAAGTATACAGGAAACCAACCCACAGAGACTGGTACCTTTTGTTTGGCTCTCAAAATTGGATTGGATCACACACATTGTGCTGTTAGAACTCTACAACATGMGGCCAAACATGTCCCAGCAAGGACAGAAGAAAAAGAAAACAAAAACAAATCAAGAAAGCAATCCAAAGCTGAGGAGATTCTAACTGGGATTTTAAAGAGTTTGTCAGGAAATCTGGGAAACATGTCACAGAACCACTATGGTTCTGTGTGTGTAGGGTAAATAAGAACGCCAGAAAATGTTCTCCAAATACTACATCCGAGTGCATTTCTATGTAAACAAGGCCCTGAGACAGAAGCTGGTTCATCCAAGCCTTAGGCTAAATCTGGTGCAATGCACCAAATGTATTTATGTTTATGTTTTAATTGCACAATGTCCTAAACAAATAAATTCATTCATTCATTCATTCAAACCCAAAGAGAGCAGTGTGGTGTATGTGGTTCAGTGAAGCGAGGAATGTTCAGATCTCTCTATCAGGACAAGACTCAGCTGTGCACCTTCACCTCAAGGATAAAGGACACTTTTTGAGGAACAAAATGCTTTTTTATTTTTGGACAGAGAAGACATTTACGCAAAAACCAAACTTTGAACAGAGGTGAAGGCCTCTGGTTTCAGCTTTCCAGAAGTTAAATGTTGGATATTCAAGTGTTTAGTAGAGTGCTTTTAGTAATGGCTCCCTGTCAGAGAAAACTGCACTTCTTCCATTTTGTTATGTGTTATCACAAAAAAACAGTAGCATTGCACTTTAGGGAATCTTTACACATTCCACACACTGGAAACATTGTGCAACAAAATGAAAGACAAGTTTTCAAACCTGTTTTTAATTCTGTTGTCTCTGATAATGCAGAGAACATTCCTGACAAAAGTCACCGTGACATAAACTTTAATTTAGTCAGTTTGTGTTTTACTACATCATTACAGAGGTGCCTGAGAAGAGTGCTAAAATAAAGCAACAGTGCCCTCTGGCTGCCTCTGTGTACGATGACTCATAAAAACTACAAACTACAGTTCTGCTGACTCTTGACATTTTTGGATGATTCTATTTATAAACACACAGTCTGAGGAGTCTCAGGTCAACCTTATAATTAAAGTCCAACCAAAGAACTTAATATAAGGTTTGTGGACGAGGGACGCAAACACTAAACACTCAGATGTGTACTCCTTTGTCCTCAATCTCCAAACCATATAAGACATTATCTGAAAGAAGTGGAAATTGTGCTTGTTTCTGAAAAACAGTACTTTTTATGACATGTTTTCTTTTTTTAAATGTTATTTTTAAATTTGATAAATATCATGCTTTTTTAAATAATAAATAAAAACATTGCAGTCTTTTGTTTTAATAAATTTTCTTACAAGTTTGTTTCATGAGAATAAAGAAAAGGTCCTCCTGACTCAGATATGCTTGTAAAGTGGAATACAATGAAATATTTCTAATGACCGTTTTTGTCGATTACACAGTTTGTGATTGTTTGAAGCTAAAATTAAATGAAAACTACACATTTGATTAATTACCTAGTCTGACTTGTTACCTTTTATCAGTTTATGTGCATGCCATAAGTTACTCAACATGACACTATCCCTGAATAAGTTTTTTACAACTAAATTAAACCAACTCAGACGAGTTCAAGTTCACATCCTGATGCAATCAAATAAATAAATAAATAAATAAATAAATAAATAAATAAATCCCCCACCCCTGCTGATTATTGTCTGTGATAAACAAAGTGAGGAGATGTTAACCAACACTTACCATTTCTTCCTCATTTCTTCTTGATGCCAGGGCCTCATTCTTCACCTCAAACTCAGCCTGGATGTTGTCTCTGCGTCTCATCACAGCCTTGTAAAAAATAGTTATTTTTTAAGAATCTTGTACTTTTTTATGATGCATAACCACTGAATACACACAAAATAAACACTCTTATGGTAGAGTTATTCAATTGATTTGTTCAAAAACAAAACCCAACCTTTTAAAATTAACCACTGAAAGCTTAACTTGTAAAATCTAAAAAGAACTTTACAGATGTTCTTAAATTATATAAGTAGTTCAGATGAAGTAGAGGATGGAACTACCTAAAAACTTTAAACTATGCTTTTAAAATAACTGTGGACCAATAGAAATATGCAAATTAATGTGATTATTATTTCTCTCAAGAGTTAAAACCCTGAGAGTTTAAAAAAAAGGGAACAGGACTGTTTCTGTAGCTGAAGGTGCTTCGCTTCACTGTATTTCAAAAGCTTGGAGCTCAATACTTTTATTTTTTTCTTACAATAAAGGGTTTTTGGATCAAGAGAATTGTTTTTAACTAAGGAAACAAAGTTGAATGGCATTGTTTGTGAAACTCTTAGAACTTACAGTTTGCTCCGTGGGATGATCAGGGTTCTGGGATTTTTTTTTTAACCCAACCCTGATTTGTACCTTGCAACAACTTTGTCTCTGCCTTGCTGGGAAASCTCCTTGGTCTTCATGATGTCTACTTATTGGTGGCAGTCCTTCCTACTTAGCAGGGCTGGACTGCTGTTGGTTCTGGAAACCATCAGAGCAGGTGTTTATATTCTGAGATCATCTAACCTTTGGGTAGATCATTTTTAACTAATTATGTAGTTTCTAACAGCAACTGTTGAGGCTTCAAAGCAAAGAGTGTGAATACATATGCATTCACCAATTTTCAGTTTCATTTTTTTTTTCAAAATGATATGAGTTTTCTCTCCTCTTTAACTTAATTAATCTGAAGTGTTTGTGTAAAATCCCTGCATCTATTCTTATTAAAAATCCAATTAAATTCCATGTTGGAAAGTAACAAAATAGAAAGATTACTGGTGTATGTGTGGTGCTTTCACAACTCAGTGTAGACAATTTTTACTGTGTCCTTGAAAGTCTTGTGCAGATAGCTAGAATTGAGATAGTTCTGATTATTGCACTTCAAAGACTTAAACAATATRCAGTTTTTTGATTTCATGTTAAAAATGCAAAACATTCCCTCAAAAGGTTGAAAATCTTCACATTTCTTCCTTGTGAAACTAGAATATTGATTCTGCAGAGCCGGGGCCGTCAACAGAAAAACAAAAAAAAGAAATGACCGCTCAGACAGTTTTTGTTGATGCGTTGACAGGAACATATACCCTGCAGACACTTCACTCAGGAAAACCAGACTGGGTTTGATTTTGGTTTAACTTGATCAAAAGTCAGTCTGGGAAGAAAACAAATCAGTCTAAAGAATTGGAATGGGCACTGACTGCCGGTGCAGCCTGCCCTCACCTTCAGCGTGTCAGCACAGAGGACGTACTCATGCAGGGCAGGGACCAGGACTTCAGACAGGTGTTGGACCTGCTCCTCTGTTTCCTTACTGCACCGTTCCACACAGCTGCCAACACCTCTCAGCGGTTCTGCCAGCTCTTCTTCTGACTCCGCCCACTGGAAGTAAGTAGGACTGTATTGCTTCAGCTCATCCAGATACTCTGAAAAGACAGAAGATAAACGGAAGCACTGAATCAATACATAAATGATCTGGATTGGTCACAAGCTGCAAAATATTTAGCTTACATTTAACAAACGCTAATGATATGATCTTGGTTCCTACAATGGTAGCTTCATGATGCTGCTGTGAACCTCCAGTATACAGTGCAGGAAATTAGATTTGATCCCCTGTTGATTTTGTTAGTTTACTAAAGCAAAGAGTGAAGGATAGAAACAGGTTTGTAAATCACTGAGAGAGATAAATAGTTGATCCTTGACAACACAGTGTGCCCATGTGGCCCACAGACTGACAACCATTATCATCCCTGCTTTTTCATCACTTCTTTGGGGCACACTTCAAAGTGAGATTTCTATGTTGAGCTGAAAGGCAGAGTTTCCAGTGTCAAAGAATTTTGACTTGATCAACATAGAAACAGAGGCTCGTCGCTCCTATTCTGCTCAAAACGCAGAAAAGCAGAAATCGAGTGAACGGCCTCAAAAGACAAGACACAAACATGTCGTCAGTAAATACAAGTCCTGAAATGGAAACAGTTTTATTTCAGAGTTACAACATGTACAGCATCGTTGTCAGAACTTCCTACACAAACATGTTCTTTTGCCATCATCAGTTTTCAGACATCATTTTGTTATTTTCAGCTATTAAAGAGCTCATTTTAGCTTTTAACTGCCTCCAATATTGCTGTTTTGTTGGTTTTAGCTTTTATCTACTGTTTTTATAACTTTACTTGAGTTCATTTTTGTTTTTACTTTTAACTGTTCTGCTTGTTTTAGTTTGTTTTCTGCCTCATTTAGTTTTAACATTTTCAGCTTCTTCAGCAAAGCCTTTCAGCACTCAGAGTTCAGGCTACATTTCCAGACAAAATGCTAATTTTTAGTAGTAGTTTTTAATTTTTAATTTTTAGTAGTTTGCCTGCAGGCAAACTACATTTCATTCTAGGTGATGTTAAAGTTTTTGAGGTACCTCTTTGTTCCTTAATGATCCTCTGGGTGACTTTGTCAATGGAGCAGATTTTGTTACTAAAGTCCTCGGCGTACTCCTGCATGACGGTGAACTCATCCAGCCGGTTCCTAAGGCCTCTCACCGAGTTAGCCACTGCTCTCATCGTCTCTCCCATCCTGCTCAAGAAACTTGGACCTTGTTTCTTGTGAGGCGCTAGCTCCTGCAACAAATCAAAATAATCTAATTATAAAGAGCAGCAGCAACAGCAGCTCTAAATCAGACATTTAAAAATAAAGGACAGAAAAACTTTGGTTACACAATATGAATTAACTAAACAATGATATATTGTGTGTTGGTTTGTGTGTGGGTGTGAGACACACCTGCGCAGTCAGAAAGACTTTTAAGTATTGGCTGTAAGACAGGATGGGATGCTCAGAGATCCTGTTGAGAAAGTGGTGTAGAGCTTTCCTCCTGGTCTCGATGAAGTCATCGTTGAAGCGTTCCACCATGCCTTTCATTACAAACTTTTCTGGGAGAGGCTGAAAACAAAGCAACAACAAAAAAAAAAAACTTTCAACTCAGACAAGCAAACATGCAAACTCTGGAAAGTACAATCTGATGGAACAGCACAGAGAACACAGTAACTTCATCTGTAGTTTGACTAAAAAAAACAATTAAATGTAGATGATGTATAAAGTTGTCAAGTGTAATTGACTGTTGAAAAAAAAAATATGTATATATATATA